ACGTCGTGTTGCGGGCTCGCTGGTTCGGGTCAAGCTTTCCCCGCCGCCGGCGCGTCTGATGCTCTCTGATACGCGATTCCTCGGTGATTGTTCTTGCTTAATCGGAGCCGTCCGTTAGACGGTTCGGGTTGGGCGGGCCGCGAAGATGGGCGGGCGGTGAAGATGGAGCCATCCATCTCCTTGTTTTTAGTTTATTTTATTTTATAATTATTTTGATTTTGTCACCCCCTCTTTTTTAAAATCGGTGCTTCTTTCTGCTCTAAAAATATGTGATGTGTATCTAATTAGTAATTTTGCAGTGTCTATATATATAATTAATAAATTTAAAAATTAGGCACGCTCAAGCCTTAATGAAGTAATAATTATAAGACTGGATTAATATAAACGGGGGGTAATATTTTGTGCTATGTTTTAGGAGTAGCTAACTGGTGTGAAATTTATTATGCGGCTCGAAAACCAGGGGATGCATAACGGCTATGTTTGTGAATCGGGAAAAAGCGGATGGTGGCCTTACGGGGGTGATGAATAATCACGGCTGTCCTTTGGGGGAATCTAGTGGGCCCCGGTTGGGACAGAGGGGAGCACTGTGGGGCCACCATTTTGCTGGCTGTCATAGGGACATCCCTCCAGGGATTTACGTACATATTAATAATTAACATATTTAACATCTAATATGTCATATTTACACAAATAGCGTTTAAATATTTATTAAAACGATAAAATTACCGCTCCGTTGCCATTGCCACAATTTTTTTTGTTGCTCCCTAAAATCCAGCACACTAAACTCATAAATTGTGCTCCTTTATTTTTCCGAGCAAGCTTCTCGTATAAAACTCGAGTAAAGCCCGCTGAAAATTTGATTGATTAAGGCTCGATTAGAGCTCATTTATTTTCTTAAATGAGTTGTTCGCTAATAAGCTCTATAAGATTCGATATGAACAGAGCTCAAATGGGATATCTCTAAGCAAGTTCGAGCTTCGATCAAAGACTAAGCATCTTGAATTTAGCTCGAGTCGAGCTTCAACTAGTTGTTAAAAAATGAGCTCAAAATTGAAGATGCATATGCTATACTCGGTTCATTTCAACCCTACTAGGAAATTTGCTTATTACTCTTTATGTTAGTCGTTTGTGAGCTCTTAAAAATTAATGCCCCAACCTCCCTCGAAATGAAAGAATGAATAAGAATGATACTAAATGAAATCAGGATATTTCTGCAGTTAAAATCCATCGGCAAATATAAAAAAAATGATCTGTTGATAATAAATTGACAGTTTTACGACGGTCGAAACTGCATAGCATTTTGGCTTGTTAGCAATTTAAAGAGCGACAACATTTTTATAGTTTTTATCTTCTGATGGCCTTAACTGTCAGTTAGTGTTAGGTTATCTGTTAGTTACATAATCAATTTAGATTAAAAGTATAGTTGTTGATTAGTCCTCAGTTTAATAACTAAAGATCATGAGTCATTGGTTAAATAACTGATGGTCACGAGTCGTCGTTTCATGCTAAAAGAAAAAGCTGTCTGTTATTCTTGATTAAATTTGTAAGTTTCATAACCGACTGAATGCAGGCTGTTGGTTTTTTGATAGCCCTTTGCTTGACCATTAGTTTTTTGTCGGTCAAATAACCGACTTCAAATAATGGATGATCCATAGCCGCTGATTTATAAAAAGAAAAAAATGGCAGTCTGTCGTTTGGCCATCAGAAAGCCATCGAAAAAATTATAGATAAAAAAATAAGTATTCTCTTTCACTTTACAATTTTCACACTTTCAATCGTAACACATATATTGATACAATTATATATCGCACAATCAAATATGCCAATCAAAATAGTTATTAAACTCAACCAATTGAATGAACACACAAATGATCACAATGCACTGAACTAAAGAATTAAAGTATATGTAATAAAATAACATATTCAAATGTCTCCTAAAATAAAGAAGAATAAAAATAGTCTTACTCGTCTTTCGTCTCTTTAACATCCTCCCCCTCATGTTTCCTCCATCAGTTTTTTCCCTTTCAGGTGCATCTGATTATTTTATGCTCCCACATACACATCCTCCCAAACTTCATCTCAACAAGTTGAGTGGAAAATTGGGTTTCAATATCAACATTGAATGTGTCTACTTGCTGATGAACCTCATCAACCTAGGCCTTAGAAGTAAATGCACTGAATGCATTGGAGAAGCCCGTCAGAGGTTTTACTCTGACGTGTTTCTCTCCACAACTCATAGCCAGACTGAACACGGCCTACGATTATAAGTCATCCTGTGTGTTGAGTCTAGTTCTCTTTCAGCTGTTGGAAGGTTTCCTACAAAATAATTTTTTCTTAAAAAAAGAAAAAGCTAGAAGCAAAATTAAATTCCAGAATAATTTGAATTGTCTATCAACTACCCTTGTCACTTGCATGTATCACCTGAGATTTACTATCAACCTAGGTATGGTTTGACTGTAACTTATCGATACACGCATGCAGCATGCAGTAGTGGACTCTCATCCCAACTCCACAGTCAATTAAGGTATAAAAATATGTTAAAATATTTTTTTATAGTAAGATATAATGCACAAATTAAACCTTACCATCCTTCTTTTATGATTTGTATGTGGGAGCGTCCATCAACATGATTGGAGGCTCCTTTGACTGCAGACAGTAAGAATGTCGGTTATCTTTGGCTTGTTGACTCCTCTTATGATTGTTGGAAGCATACCAACTCTCAATAATGAATCAAACACATCTTCCCAAACCAAAAGAAGGCACTGAAACATATTTTGTATCTCCCTGTGCGTGTTATAAAGAAGCCCCCCACTCTTATGCTTGAAGCTCCTCTTGATATGTGTATCGTGCTCAGGGCGCTAGAAGAAATGCTTCTGCTAAATGAACTTAAATATTTTATATTGATAAAATTATAATGTGAACAACCTAGGTTGATAAATAAAATCTGAAAATGAAGATATATTTATTTTTTTATCAAATAAAAATAGAATGATTTCCACATTGTCCAAAAGAATCCAACAAGAAAGGCTGTCAAATGCATCTCAATCGATGGTAGTACCATGACATTTGGCCGAAGAAGAAGGACCTGCAACAGCTGTGGGTGGTGGTGCGAGTATGGTGGGAGGAAAGGGGTTGTAAGACAACTTGGGTGGTGAGGGTGATGGTGTCAGGGTGAAGCTTTAAGGGGATGGATCGACAGTAACTGTGATCGTGGTAGAGAGTAACAAAGACATGGTCACCTCCACTGTAATGCCACCTCATTGCCTGACGAGGGCAAGCCCACATGGAGGAAGATCATTGCTGCCTTTAGAAGCCATTTTAATAAGAAAAAAAAAAAAATTATTAGTGTACCTAAACTTAAACAAAGTTTGATAAAATTTTCTAGTGTAATTTAAAAATTACTGGTACTTAAAAGAGATGCCTAAATAATAAAAATAACATAAAACTATAAAGTATAATCTACAAAACTACGACAACTGAAAGTATAAGTAATAATTCTAAATAAAAGTAAGGATAAAATGTAAAGTACAATCTTCAAAACGACACTGAAAATAGACATATGCACAGTAAATCGAAGGTGAAGCTATTAAGTTCAATCTATTTGGTTATGGAGTAATTTCTTATAGTAAAAAGAGAATTTTAATAACATACACATCTTAATCTACATCATTTGATGAGTGGCTAAATGATGAAATTAAATTTTCTTCATCCAAAATATCACCGGTCAAAATCATTATGAGTAATTTCCATGTGTTCAGCACTAACATCCTCTAAATGTATCTCTCCATGAATAGAATCAAGTGAAAAGACATCATTTAACTTTCTTCAAGAGCGAGTTCAATGATATGTTGAATATCAATGCTCGCTCCAAATTTCCTCATGATGATTATTGTCCAATCATCTGTATCTCTTGCTCTATCGGGATATCAAAGATAATATACCTGACTCATTTGTTTTTCTAGAATGAAAAGACCAAATTTAGTATATCTTCTGTTCACATTAACTTCTACAAAATTAATTAACTTGTTTACCCTTCTTTCATGATTTGGAATATAATCAAACCAATCACATTTGAACAAAAATAGAGTTCTTCCGATTAAGCTAGAATATTCTAATTGAAAAACGTCTTCGAGAATCTTGTAGTAATCTACTTCATCATCTAAATTATTATTGTTTTTTAACACAAACAGTAGAGCTATTAGTCCTTTTTTTTTCTTTTGACCATGACCTTGTATAAAATATTTAGCCATTCATATAATAAATTTACCAAACTTTCATGATTCGATGGGGATCCCACACAAGATATATTAAGCCCTGATTCATTACTTTATTGTTGTGATAATGAGAGTGAATTTATAAATAATCTGGTTTTTATTCTTTCTTTCAAAATATGAAACAATTATTCAACTTCTTCGTTGGGTGGCTCAAGTTGAGGAACATAGCTCGTTTAAGAAGCAAAGCTAATTAAATGGTCAACCCACAATGTGAATTTCAACATCAATTATCATGTTGAAATCCTTGATGATATAAATCATACCTAAGTTTATCAAGCGTTAAATATGTTGATTCCTACGTTTTGGTAATGAACACCGAAACATACCATCATGCAGGTAAGTTAGAAATTGAGATATCGCTTGCATGGACTCAATATTGTTCAAGAACTCTTTAGCGAGTCATTTCCTATCAAAAAATAGTTTATGGTGTACCTTTGATCTTAATGTACAAATATCCATATATAATCTATATAATTTATAAAAGTATTCATAAAATGCTACTATCAAGAACTATTAAATTTTTTTTTTATATGAAAAACCAAATAGTTAAGAGACTTGCATGCTACACACAAAACACTCAATATTTTAATATCATATCAAAAACATCACTTATAACTTTTCAAAAGCGAAGCACACATTTTCATACAAAGGTTTAAAAAACTAAAGTGTCATATGTAAATTTGAAAGTTTAGGTTTGAGATACAAAAATACATAAGAAATGCATGTTATGTATGTGAATTTTCCTTAAAAAGGAGAATTGACATTCAAATCACACAATTTTTATGTACATTCATGTCCCTAACCTAAAATTTTATATTTTCACACATAACATTACATACTTTAATAGCACATCATAACGAGCATTATTACCTCTTTTAAAATATAAAAAATATATATTTTCATGGATATGCTTAAAGCACCGAAGTGTCATGTATGTAAATACAAAAGTTTAGGTGTGAGATACATAAAGATATAAGAATTGCATTCTAGGTATGTGAATTTGCCTTAGAAAAGGGGCATCT